AAACTCAACACACCTTGGCCTTCAAAACATTTGACAGTAAACATGGCCCTGGCCTCATTTTCAATTTTAACCCACTATTTCCCTAGGGGGAGCTATGGTAGCATAGTGGCTAAGGCACTTGACTGCTAACCAGAAGGCTGGTGGTTCAAATCCACCAGCTACTCCTTGGAAGGAAGATGGGGCAATCTACTTCCGTAGTGATACTGCCTCGGAAGCCCAAGGAGGGGTCGTTATGAGTTGAGTACGACTCGACAGCACATAACAACAACAACAACATTTCCCCAGGCGTAGTGTTTGTTGCCTTATACTTAGTACCAACTTAACTGACAACACATTGGCTAGACCATTTTCCAACATGACAGCAGCAATACATCTCTCTCTCCTACTCAGTGGAGCTGTGTGCTTATCAGGGTGTCAGTTGTGTTTGTTCACAAACCAATTTATGCCAATTGTGATTATTAACTCATAATATTCACAAGGACCCCAGGAAATAGAAACTATTATTATCTGTAATTTACAATGGAGGAAATTGACTAATCTGCCTAAGGCCTACACACAGCTAACAAGCAGCAAAGCAGTCTGGCTCCAGAGGAAAAGCTAGATACAAGCAAGTCATACAGAGAATGTATTAGAGCTTAAATTCTGAAGCACATGGTTGTGGTTCAAGTGCCACCAGAGCTCTATACCTTTGCAAGAGATGAGAGATAGAGATAGAGATAGAGAGAGAGAGAGAACTTTATTAGGCCAGAGTTTAGCATGTATAATTTCTCTTAAAATTTATAAATCTGAAGATACAACCAAATACTTCTAGAGGTGCTAAAACACAGTCTTCAAACAAATGCAAACAAACAGAAAGACACCATAGAAGTGGGGAAAGGACCATGATTGGGATACGCACATAACTGGACACAGTCAGGCAAGTTCCAAGTTCTTTGTGTGAGCAGACTCTACTTTCAACCACACTCTTCCTGAGGGCAAACTGCCCCTCCCTAGGTTTGGTCTGGAACTGGACCTTGTCTAAGTATAGCCACAATGTGAATTTAAAGATCAGAAAGAGCTCAAAATGGCCTCTGAACTTATGTCAAGCCTCCAAATGGAGTTAGGGCTCCCACTGTAGACCATAGCCTTCTACAAACCTACTGCTTCACAACTGAAGCTCTAATATACCCATCAGTTTACAGTGGGTCAATACTATATATTAAATGAATAGATCTAAAAGCTGTGTACTTTAGTGAAAAACAACAAGGTTTACTTACCAATGGATCCCTAGCAATACTTAGTAGATGTCTGGGTCTAATCCACCTATTTTACAATGGGGTAGGGAGCCTGGCTCAAGCTCAGAAGAAAATTCAGGTCTCCTGATTCCTAATCAAATGTTACTAAACTGAAGATATTTAATTTAAGAAAGTTGGTTTTTAGGTGTACCCATCACTGAGTTCAAAGTCTGAAAGGAAAGACTGAGGTAGACTCCACCATCTTTCCCTCACGCATAATGTCCATCAGAACCAGCAACTGTATTCACCAACAGTGATTGGGGCACCAAGCTTATGGTATCCCAGTCATCAAAAAGGCTGATCCCTACCTAGGTAAAAAGAAGCTCTGGTGGCATAGTGGTTAAAGCATTCAGCTGCTAACAAAAAGGTTGGCAGTTTGAACCCACCAGATGTTCTGCTCCGTGGGAAAGATGAGGTAGTTCTACTCTGTCCTAAGGGGGCCACTAGGAATCAGAAGTGGGTTGGGTTGGGTTTGGTAAAAGGAGCCCTGGTGGCACAGTGGCTAAAGCACTCAGCTGCTAACCAAAAGGTCAGCAGTTTAAACCCACTAGCCACTCTGCACGATAAGATGTGGCAGTCTGCTTTCATAAAGATTTATAGCCTAGGAAACTATGGGAGCAGTTCTACTATATCTTACAGGGTTTCTATGAGTTGGAACTGACTCGACTGCACTGGGTTGGACTGGGTTTGGGCCTAGGTAAAAGGCTACTTAAACAAAGTTTATCTTAAATTCTTAATGTAACACCAACTCCAGAAGATACAGAGAAGAAAATTCAAACGCTATAGAAGATATCCTGGATAAAATATCCTGATTCAAAAATGCAAGCTAAGAGCTCAAATGCTCCCATAACATTATCTGTAAAGCAATACTCAGATGGTTCAATGCTGGGCAAGTGTGGAGAAAGGCTAGAAAGAGCTCTGTTGCTCATCCTGGGCATGTATTTTTCCCCGAGAGGTAGCCAAGTTCACATTCTAACCAGAACTACTACAGTAGGTTCCAGTTTTGGTGCCTGAACACTGTGCGGCCTTCACTGCTCATAACCATCGAAATCTGTAATATACACACAAGAAGTAAACCCACAGCCCTAGCCCTTGGTTTAATAGAGGAATAATTTACTTATAAATATTATCATTATGTGTAATATTTTTAGCTATCCTATTCTCCTCTCTATCTTTTACCCAAAAACTCACTGTCATTCAGTCAATTTGACTCAAAGTGACCCTTTAGGACAGAGTAGAATTGCCCCATAGGGTTTCCAAGGCTATAAATCTTTACAGAAGCATATTGCCTCATTTTTCTCCCACAGAGTGACTGGTGGGTTTGACTCGCCGACCTTTCGGTTTGCAGCCAAATCCTTTAATCACTATGTCACCAGAACTCTTTCCCTAGAGTTTCAGACAACAGTAGTTTTAGACAATCCCCTTCAATTAACCCCAACAGTTCACAACTAGTACAGCATTTTTATCTTTCTGGAAGCTACTTATAAAAGGCAACAGCCATGGCTGGGCTTCTGGGTTCCATGTGAAAAAATCCAGAAGGTAAAACTAAAGAATAGGGGAATAAGAATGAATTCTATTATTCAATTTGACAAAGAATTATAAAAAACCTGTCATAGGTAAAGGTCTCTGGGTGGCACAAGTGGTTTGTGATCACCTCCTAACCTAAAGGTTGGTGGTTTGAATCCATGCACCAGAGCTGCTGAACAAAGGCTGATGATGTGCTGCCTTAAAGATTGTTGTTGTTGTTGTTGTTGTTTGCCTTAAAGATTACAGCCACGAAAACCCTATGAGGCGTTCAACACATGGGGTTGCCGTGAGTCAGAATCAACTTGAGAGCAATTGGTCTTATTATGGGTAAGGAGTCCCTTGTTGTTGTTGTTGTTTGCTGTCGAGTCGGCCCCGACTCATAGCGACCCCTCCTTGGGTTTCCGAGGCAGTATCACTACAGAAGTAGGATTGCCCAACCTTCCTTCCGAGGAGTTGCTGGTGGGTTTGAACCGCCAGCCTTCTGGTTAGCAGTCAAGTGCCTTAGGCACTATGCTACCAGAGCTCCCAAGGAGTCCCTTAGGGGTTCAGAAAAGTAATGTGCTCCACTGCTAAGCAAAAGGTTAGAGGTTCAAACATACCCAGAGGCATCTCAGAAGAAACACCGGGCAATCTACTTTTTGAAAAATCAGCCACTGAAAACTCCACAGAGCACTGTTCTATTCTGACACATGTGGGCTTGCCATGAGTTGGAACTGACTCACTAACAACTGTTGTTTTTTTTTTTTTTAATAGGTTAAGAAGGCACAGTACTCTGTGACATAGAAGACATCAAGACGTATAAGGTTGTCCATGCCACAAGGAAAGTGCCAAATGTTTGTTTAAAGTTCTGTAGGAAGGTGCTATAATCCACTTCACTTCAATTTCAAACCATCAGATCAAAACATTCATTCAAGTAATGGACCTTCATTCAAGTATGGGCAGCCTGAGTAAAATAACTCCAGTGAGATCTGTGGAAATGGACCCCACTTGGGGACTATACCTACTCACCCACAGGGTAGCTAGGCCAGGACACCACCCCCAGACTGTTCCAGGTTAATAAAGAAATACTTATGTAAGATACCAGGAGAATGGAAACTGGAGGCAGAGGAGATGAAAACAACGGATGTTGATTTAGGATGGTGGCAAGACTCAGCAAAACCCAAGCCAAGGCTGGGCTGGGGATTTTCAGTCTCTGAAGTTTCACTCAGCCCCAGAATACTTTAGCTCCTCTGCACCTCACCAGCCAGTGAAAGATATGGACACCAGAAAGGAGACTTCGCTCATGGTATATAGTACTGTCTAACAATAATCTCTCCTTAAGGGCACACACAGCTTAAGGATTAGTACACTTCCTGTCCATGCACTGGTTTACTAAATCCCGAATCAAAGGTCTAGGGATCCTGCCCCAGTCTGCCCTTTACTCGCTGTGTGAGCTAGTCATCCGGTGCTTAGTTCCCCCGTTTACCTATCTGTAAACCCTGGGATGAGGAGACTAGGAGTGAACTCGATGACGCCCGAGGTCCGAAACCTTCCTGACCACTTGATACGTGGAAGCACTGGGCAAAGAGACCGCTGAATAAACAGAGAGGTCGGAGACGGTGGGCAGGGGTATCATCAGGTTCGTCTTATAGACGGAGAAACTGAGGCACCGAGCACCCTGCCCCAAGGTCACTCCAGCTATGTCACGGCACGGGGCAGGCCAGGGGCTCAGGGCTCCAAGTTTCCAGTCCTGGGCCCTTTTTCCTTTGGCAGAGCTAAGAGTGGTGAGGAGGGTCCTTGTCAAGGAGGGGAAAGGGCAGCGTCCGTGACAGGGTTGCGAAAGAGGGCGGGGCAGGCCTTACCTTCCCAGGTCCAGTCGGGTCACTGGCGCCTCTTTACAGAACCTTAACCCGTAACACCTTCACGAGTCTTCAAAAGCCCCTCCACCTCTGTCCGGCGCGACGTGTCCACGACCGCCACCGAAGCCGCCAATTCCCGCCCCAGCCCCGCCCCCCGCCTCGTTGACCAATCCCTCCGCAGGATTTTGGAACTCCACCGCCTCTGCGGGCTGGGAGAGGCCTTACGTCACGCGGCGCGCGTGCCTGCGAGAGCCTCCCATTTGCCTTTGCCCCACCTTCTCCAAACCTGGGCTCCTCCCGGACAAGCAACTCTGCGACAGATCGCCCTACCGGAAAGCCGCACGCTACCGCGGCATTTTACGACGACGGCAGTGACAGGCCTTTGAAAACCCCGACTGCCTTCCCGCAGCCGGGCGAAAGCTAGCGCGATGTTCGGTGCAGGCGACGAGGACGACACCGACTTCCTCTCGCCCAGCGGCGGGTGAGTGATTGCGAGGCGTGGACCAGTAGACCCTGCTGAGGGAATTCGGCTGATGGTTGAAGGGGTCGATCACTTCTCGGGCTTCTTCCCAACTTCCGGATCCAGATCATTGCTATGTTCTGTTTCTCTGCACGCTTCGATCTGAGCAGAGCTAGGAACTGTGCTGAGCTTGGAACTGAGGTCTGGACCCCGTGTCTCCCCTGACTGACAGGACTCTAAAAAAAACTCACTGCCGTGGAGTCGGATCCGACTCAAAACGACCCCTCCTTGGGTTTCCCAGACTGTATCACTACGGAAGCAGATTGCCCAGTCTTCCTTCCAAGGAGTGGCTGGTGGGTTTGAACCGCCAGCCTTCTAGTTAGCGGTTAAATGTCTTAGGCACTACGCCACCAGAACTCCTATGGTTCACTGTATTATTTCTGGATCACACTTTCTCATTCTGTGAAAAAGAAGTGGTTGTTAATGGCAGTGTTTGCCTCGGGGTTTTTATAGGAGGCAGGTAGGACTGCATATGAGACTTTCTCCCCTCCATGGACAAGACACCCAACGCACTGCCATTGAGTTGATTCCGACTCATAGCGACCCTAGAGGAGGGGATGGACTGCCCCATAAGATTTCGAGGCTGTACATCTCCACGGAAGCTGGCTGACCCCTTTTTCTCCAGCAGAGAGGCTGGTGGGTTCGAACGCAAAGCTGTTGGTTAGCAGCCCAATGCATTAACCACGGGGCCACCAGAGCTCTTTGTGGATAAGGCAGTCACTTTCCTCTGATGGGTCAGCTCCAACATCCTTCTAGGGCCATCTCGAATGTCACCTGTTTTAAAGCTTTCCCTGTTCTCACAACCCCAGACTAAATTGCTTTTCTTCGTTATTCCCACAGCTAGGTATGTTTGCCTTCGACCCTTGTCCACCGATCCATAATTGTTTCCTTGCTGGACCCCTCACTATATTATGAGCCCCAGCAGGACAGAGACTGGTTATGTTACTCATCTCTGTCTAGGGCCCATCACAGTACCTGACACATAGTGAAAGCTCAGAAAGTGCCCACCAAATGAACAATAGCTGAGAAATTGTAAACTCAAAAGCTGTCATTGCTATCTCCTGCCCACAGACCTTCCTTTGCAGTTGTTGTTGTTATGTGCCCTTGAGTCGGACCCGACTCATAGCGACCCCTCCTTGGGTTTCTGAGGCAGTATCACTACGGAATCACTATGGAAGTTCTGGTTAGCAGTCAAGTGCCTTAGGCACTATGCTACCAGAGCTCCCAGTCTGCAGTCTTCAAAGAGGCAAGGATTTTTCTCTTTCTGTAATCAGTTTAGCCTCCTGCCTGGGTTAGTTGAACAACTTGGCTCCCTCCAAACTTATGATCTGCCGAGCTCTGATCCTTGTAGAGCTTTTCTTTGAGTATCTATTTAACAAATTTTAGACATACTGAAGAATAAATCGATGCCAGTCTATGCCCTCATTACATTAACTGCTAAGGGGTTACAAAGAAGACAGAGATGTTGTGCCTGCCCTCAAGTTGCTTCCAGTCCTCTTAGAAAGTCCATTGCATAAATGACCATAAGATGACACTGCTTCTCTTTTGGTCTTATATAGGATTGTTTGACTTACATTACAGCTTGCCCTGGTAGCGTAGTGCCTAAGGCATTTGACTGCTAACCAGAAGGTTGGTGGTTCAAACCCACTAGCCACTCCTCAGAAGGAAGGTTGGATGATCTACTTCCATAGTGATACCTCTTTGGAAGCCCAAGATGGGGGTCACTGTAAGTTGGATCTGACTCCACAGCAGTTGAGTTTGGTTTTTTGTTTTTTTTGGTATGGCTGTTGTTGTTATGTGCCATCGAGTCAGATCTGACTCATAGTGACCCCTCCTTGGGTTTCTGAGGCAGTATTACTACGGAAATAGATTGCCCAACCTTCCTTCTGAGGTGTGGCTGGTGGGTTTGAACTGCCAGCCTTCTGGTTAGCAGGCAAGTGCCTTAGGCAGTATGCTACCAGAGCTCCTTTGGCATGGCTAGCCCTGTATTATCTATCCTTAAGTCCTCTTTTCATTCTTAACGCTCTGTTCCACCCCTACCACACTCTCCGCCACTTTAAATGGCCTATATCCACTTGGTTCCACTTTATCCCACTTTGAGGTCTTTTAGTTACTTAGCTATTTCCAAGTTAAACTGTGCTTTAGTTCCTTTCTTCCCTATTCCAGCCATATATTCACTAAAGTTTCCATACATCTCAGTCTTCCTGCTGCTGTTGAGTGTGTAGTCAACCTCTTCAATTAATGTTTTTCCATACAAACTTGTCTACAGCTGTATATTAGGTCTTTCCAAAGTTTCCAGGGTATACTTTAACTCCACATTCTTAACTGGGTGAAAGTGTTCAGGGAATGCTGTCAAGGAGTGTTAGGACAAGCAATCCACTGCTGACTCGAAGTTACAGGGTAAAGAATGACAGTTGTGTGCTCGTTTCCAGAGCCCTGGCCTAAGGGTATTTCTCAGTGGCTCAACTATGCAGCTTTCCTGAGTAGGATCATCAAGGACATGAAACATTTTAGTTTGAAGCAAATGACTGTGCTACTAGATATGTTGTTGTTGTTAGGTGTCATCAAGTCAGCTCTGACTCATAGTGACCCTGTGCACAGCAGAACGAATCACTGCCGTTCCTGCACCATCCTCACAATCTTTGCTATGCTTGAGCCCATCATTGCAGCCACTGTCAGTCCATATCGTTGAAGATTTTCCTCTTTTTCACTGACACTCTACCTTACCAAGTATGATATCCTTCTCCAGGGACTTGTCCCTTCTGACAACATGACCAAAGTATGAGAGATGAAGTCTGGCCATTCTTGCTTCTAAGGAACATTCCTATTTGTTTGTTCTTCTGGCAGTCCATAGTATTTTCAGTATTCATCACCAATACCACAATGCAAAGGCATCAACTCTTTTTTGGTCTTCCTTTGTCATTTTGAAAATACCATGGCTTGGGTCAGGTGCACCTAAGTCTTCAAAGTGACATCTTTGCTTTTAACACTTGAGAGAGGCCTTTTACAGCAGATTAGCCAAGTATAATATGTTGTCTGATTTCTTTTTTTTTTTTAATTTTATTTTGATTTGGGTGAAGATTTACAGAGTAAATTCACTTTTCATACAGCAGTTCACATATACTTTGTCTCATGTCATTGACCAAAATTTACAATGCAACAGCTCCCCTCCCACTTCCTCCCCATAGTTACCTCTTCCCAGTGTCCATCCCTCCATACTCTCCTGCGCCCTGAGCTGTCTCCCTGTGCATAAGCAGCCCTTCCTTCTCCATGATTGTTCTCTCGGGCGTGTGTCTACTTGAGGTAAATGTTTAACTCACATGCCTGTACTTTGTTTGGCTGGAAACCACAGGTGTGGGTTCAATTCCAGACCTGAAGGGCAGCTAGGGGCCATAGTCTCAGTGGTTACACCAGGCTCTATTGGACCAGCAAACCTGGTCCCCACCTTCTTTTTTTTTTTTTGCCTTCAAATGATTTTGAGTTTTGTTCCACATTGTTCTCCCTCTCTATGCAGGATCTCCTACATCCCTTCCAAGTGGATGTGTTGTCTGATTTCTTGACTGCTGCTTTCATGGGTGTTGATTGTGGATGCAAGTAAAATGAAATCTCTGACAACTTCATTTCTCCATTTGTCGTGATGTTGCTTATTGGTCAAGTTGTGAGGATTTTTGTTTTCTTTATGTTGAAGTGTAATCCATACTGAAGACTGTAGTCTTCTATCTTCATCAGTAAGTGCTTCAAGTCCTCTTCACTTTCAGCAAGAAAGGTTGTGTCATCTGCATATCGTAAGATGTAATTAGTCTTTCTCCAGTCCTGATGACATGTTCTTCTTCATGTAGTCCACCTTCTCAGATTATTTGCTCAGCATACATATTGAATAAGTATGATGAAAGGATACACACACCTTTCCAGATTTTAAACCATTACGTATCCCTTTGTTCTGTTCAAATGGCTGCCTCTTGGTCTGTGTGCAGGTTCCTCACGAGCATAATTAAGTGTCTGGAACTCCCATTCCTTCTTCCTAGTCTGAGTTAGTCTGGAAGCTCCAGTGAAGCCTGTCTGCCATGGTTATTTGAAATACAAGTGACATAGTTCCAGCAGCACTGTGACACACAAGCTACCACAGTACAACAAACTTACAAATGAGTGGTGGGCTATTAGATAGAGTTGACGGCTAATTTGATGATAAGAGGCGTAGTAAAGAAAGTTAAACAGATAACTTATTTTCCCCTCAACAGTAACCAAGAAAACCAAATCAAATAAGATTGAGACTATAAACTTCAGCAATTCCTTTTTTGATTTTCTCTAAGGAAGTAAAACATGTGACAATGAACACTGCAGCTACTTTCCGTTCCTCTTTTATTGTTCAAATTCTTTTCCTTCCTTTAAATGTTTACAAGCATTACAAGCCAGTACAGCGTATATTCATGTACATTGCATAACTGTAATTTACTTGCTTATTTTTTAAAAAAATACTTATTTTGTTGTTGAGAATATACACAGGAAAACCTATACTGTTTTGAGTAGCAAATGGAGTCTTAAAAGCTTGCAAGTGGCCATCTACGTTGCAATTCTTGGTCTCTGCTTGTCCAGAGCAAAGAAGAATGAAGGAAGTCAAAGACTCAAAGAAATAATTAGTCCAAGAACTAATGGACCACACAAGCCATAGCCCCCACCAGCCTGATACCAGAAGAATTAGGTGGTGTCCGGCTACCAGTCCTTACTGCTCTGATCTGGATCACCATAGAAGGGCCTGGAGAGAGTGGGAGAAAACATGTAGAACAAAATTCAAAATCATAAAAAAGACCAAGCTTATAGGTCTGATAGAGACTAGTTGACTCCCCTAAGAACCGCCCCCCCCCAAATAGTCGTCAAGCCTGGAAGTGAACCCATCCCTGGTATCAACTTTCAGCTAAACAATAGATAGGTCTATGAAGTGAATAATACTACCAAAGAGAGACTGTTTATTCAAATGAATGATTTACACTAAACACCTGTTTTCTTTCTGAGAGTATGAAATTTTGGTATATGCTACGCAGAGGGTATATACCAGGCCTGCATGACTTCCCCCAATGAAAGCCTTGGACATTGAGTCTCTAATGAGCTGCCCTGGAAAACCACAGTTCACACACGTTGTTGTAACTCTTTGCTTCAGTAATGAAGTATGTCCTGTGTGACTCCACAGGGAAATGGGTTTTGGAAGCTTGCACCTGGTTTTCCTCTGGACTTTGTTTGGCCCATGTACCTTTTTCTTTTGCTGGTTTTGCTTTTTGTCCTTTGTAATCAGTTTTAGCCATGTGTACAACTATATGCTGAGTCCTTGAATCCTTCTAGTGAATCACTGAACTTGGGGTTGGTCTTGGGGATTTGACAGAGGTTTCGTCAAGAGAGGGAGCACAGAGGAAGATAAATTTTGTTGGACAATGATAATCAGAGGCTTTGAGTTTTGGTTTGGACATATTGCATTTGCATTGCCTGTAAGATACCTGTGTTCCCTGTCACTCAGGAGAAAGTTCTGGACTGGGGATACAGATCTGAGTGTCATCAGATTTGCATAGCACTTGATGCCAAGGTAAATAAATGAGGCTGCTGAGAGAGAGAGAGAGAGACAGACAGACAGACAGACAGACAGAATGAAACTTGGGGGCATAAACATTTAGAGATTAGGCAAGGGAAGAATCCAAAGAGTTAAATGAGAAGTCAGAGAGATGGAAAGAAAACAGGAAAGGGTGCACATTAGAATTTGTTGATGTCTTTGTTTGGGCCAGCCTCTTCCCCTTTGGTGGAGCAGGTAACTCCACAGAAGCCAAGAAATCTTCCCAAAGATCAAATTAGTTGACTGTGTAGAAAAGGTGGCATGAAGGTCAAATAATGTAAGGACTGATAAACTAGGTTTAGTAACAGAGACGTTGTTGGTGACCTAAGCAACAGCAGTTTCAGTGGAGTGGTGGGGGCAGAAGAATTCATTGCAAGAATTGATAAAAGAATGGTGTTGCCTGTTAGATGAAGTGACAGAAGGGCTTGTGTGTAATGGAGTAAGAGTGTAGTACAGTTTCATCTCAATGTTAGAAGCTTGTAAACAGTAGGAGGAGGAGTAATCAGTAGGAGGGACTAGAAACTCCATGTTTCTAAAGCAAGAATGGAGAGTCTGAGGAGAACCTAGGAGCATTAGGCCCAACCATCTCAATTTACAAGTGGAGCAATTGAGGTCCAGAAAGAAGAAATGCCTTGGCTGACTACCTGTGGATGGACTGGGTCAGCTGATGATGTTCAGATCAGAAATGCAGTCTTGGTTTCAAAGACACTTAGCTTCCACTTCCATTATTGAATGGTAGGATATACATTAAAGGAGGTATCTGTTCAAGGTTAGAGGTGAGCAACTTTTATGATGATTCCAAGGTTGAGATATGCCAAATGAAATTTCACAGACTCTTCTTTTTCTCTCAACAGTGCCAGATTGGCCTCTCTTTTTGGACTGGATCAGGCAGCTGCTGGCCATGGAAATGAGTTCTTCCAGTACACAGCCCCAAAGCAGCCTAAGAAAAACCAGGCAACAGCAGCAACAGGCGAGTTAATGGCCATTAGGATTGTGCCCTAACGTGTTAGTTGGAAGGGGAACAGCCTTCTAAAAGTTGTGGGACAGGTGGTCTACCTTGACCAGTTGGGTAGTTCATCATCAGTGGTAGATACGTCTCTGAGCTCTGGGATCCTCAATGTCCTGCAGCTAGATAGTGTGTCCTTTCTTGGGAACTGATACAGGAAGGTTGTAGGAAGGTCACAGACAAGCTCTTCTGCCACACATGGACATCACTCTCTACAACTCTGCCCCAAGGCACTCTAAGTGGATGTTTTCCAGTGTTTTTGTGAAAAGGAAGAACTATGGTTTACTTCCTTCACCTGGATATGTTAGTTATATGCTGGCAGTGATTTTTTCCCCAACTAGAAGTGATACTCATTGCAGTACCTTTATTTATGTCTGACACAAGAAACATTTATTCAGTGAACATTTGTTGAATGAAAGGAGAGAAAAGGAGACTGATGTTTCTAAAATGCCTGTTATATGTCTGGTCTCATGTTAGGTGTTTTACATACATTGTCTTACTTAATTATCTTAACAATTTTGTGAAGTAGATGACTGCCATGATTTTTTAGGTGCTCAGAGAGGTTTAGGACCTTGGCCAATGTCACATAGTTAGGAAGTGACAGAAGTGAAATTTGAACCCTGATCTCACTGACTTCAAAGGTTTTATTCCTTTCTCCATACTTTTCTGTCTTTGTGAAAGAACTTGATAGTAGAAGAAGAGAGACTAACAGTAATAGCCCTGAGCAGAACAGGAAATAAGGGATATTAAATATTAAACATTAAATATTAAATCATTGAGTGCCTTTTACATGCTAGGCCTGATGCTGGTACTAAGGATATTGTCAGGATATTTAAAATTGAGTAGTTGTAACATCTAAGATACTTACTGTTTGTCCTTTACAGAAAATGTTTGCTGATGCCTTCTCTAACTATTTCATCTGCCACTTTTGACAGTGTTTCTTAGGTTGTTGGTTCTATTCTCCAAGCTATAACAAAAAAACTAACAAACACATTGCTGTCAAGTTGAATCAATTCGACTCATAGTGACCCCTCCTTGGGTTTCTGATGTGGTATCTGTACGGAAGTAGATTGCCCACTCTTCCTTTTGAGGAGTGGCTGGTGGGTTTGAACCAACAGCCTTCTGGTTAGTGGTCAGATGCCTTAGGTACTGTGCCCCCAGAACTCCCCCAAGCTATAACCTGGCCATATTTTTAGTAGATTATAAATACCTTTACATTTTCCCTGGTGTATCTCTTCATCAGCATTAGGCTTCTGAATCTATTTAAAGTGGTTAAGTTAATGGGTGTGGAGGAAAATAAACACCCTTAGTCCCTACTCAATGCAATAGCTTGATTTTCTTATCAGAAAACAAGGCCAACTATAAATTTACACTTTAAATGAGGAACTATAGAGGCATTTCAACTTAAAAATTATCTATACAGTCTTATGTAGGCATTTACAAATAACAAATAATACAGAAATAAAGGATACTCTGTTCAAGGGAGGTTTATATGAGACGTCCTTGGGGAAAAGGTGGTGGTGGCATATTTAACAACAAAACCAGTTGGGAAAAGTATCTTCATGAATCCCAAAACATGAAGGTATGGGCAAACACAAGGCTTGCATGATATCAGCATCAGTGTGGGAGAACAGACAGATGTAATGTGTGTTTTTTTCTGAGAACAGGATTACTTCAAAATGACCGACAGGTTTTCATGGAAAGTGTGACAGGCCAAGCTGAAACTGGAAGGGTTTTGTCCACTTTAGTTATAGGTAGGTGCAAGGGTTTGATGATGTTATCTAAAGCAGTTGGAGAAGTCTTACTGCAATGAACTTTTGAAACTCACTCACCAAATGACCTTCCAAAATGGGGCTCCATACTGATAAGAGCCTGCTGGGGATGAAATTAAAATGGAGAATAGGGACATTAGCAACAAAGATAAGATCCAGATAAAAGTACATCTCCCTAACGGGAGGAAGCCAAGATATTTTTTTAGCTCTATACAAAAGAAAAGAGGAAGCTTCAAGTTCTGTGAAGTTAGAAAAGCCATTCTGAACCATGCCTTCTTCTCAGATATAAATAATAAGTGACAGGCCTCAGGAAAGAATTAGAAATGAAAGGGAAATTTCATATTGAAGACTAAACTAGAAGATACACAAGAATTAATAAACAATACATTATACCTTAATAATCTTAATAAAAGGTTAAAAGGAATTTTTTTAAAAATAAGATTAAGAGGTAAGAAAGAAAGTGACAAATATTGGAGTTAGTAAAGAAAAGTCAACGTATAGGTAGTAGGAATATCTGAAGAAGAAAACTAAAGCAAGAGGGAAAGAACAAATGCTAAAAACTATAATGCAAGGAAACTTTGCTGGAAAGAATTTTGAAATTACATTTTGAAAACAGTCCTTAAGAAGGGGAAATTCAATTCTGGTAAGATGGCGGAATAGGCAGAAAGACTGCACAGACGCTCTTCAACAAAGAAAAGGGGAACCAGTTCACACAGATACAGATGATAATCTTGGACCCCTGAGCCTTGAAGGGAAGGATATAGAAGTAGACTAAACTCCAACTAGCAGAAGAATTTTCATGAAAACACCAAAAAAGGAGACATATGGAGCTGTGGTGTGGCAGCGATCCTTACGGCACAGACAGCTTAGATATTGCTGAGTGGTGGTAGAACCTAAGAATTAACCTAAAAAGTAGGCCTGCTAGCCACGGACTGCATGGAGGACTGCTCTGGTGGCTGGGGAATAAAAGGGGAAGCAGTGAAGAAGAAGGCAGGCTGAGCTGTGGATTTTTGCCTGTCCAGAGGGTGCAGCCATTTTGAATGTTTACAAGTGGTTTGACCATTTTGGATATTTAAAGCGACAGCGTTCTCCCAGACTCCAGGGACTTAAGAATAGGCTCCACTTGCCGGCAACCACAAGGACATTCTGGAAGCGGAAGACTGGAAAGGTGTGACATTCCCCTTGTTACTCTTATACCCTGCACCCTCTTGGTGAACTGAGGTGTGGCCATCCCTCACTCCGACCCACCTTCTGGGCCAGCAGGAATTCTATCCCAGTCTGCGTGCTCAAATGGAGCCTGGGTGCCCTGCCCTGCCCCGATTTTTTTTCTTTCTTTTTTTTAGTTTGTTTTTGTCTGTTTTAAAACTACCACTATTATTATTACTTTTGTCCTTTTTACTATTATTCTTTATTCTTCCCCTCCCAGGTTCTAGTTTTCAGCTTTTTTACTTTTCCCTCTTCCGGTGCAATTTTTTTTTTCTATCTCATGGTTAACCCTGTTCCTTGTTTTTCTTTTTGCATTTTCCCCATTGTTTTTTCTTCATTATTCTTATTCTTTACTTTTTTCTCTTATTGCCCTCTCCCCAGATACTGTGTTTTTTTTTTCTTTTTCCCTTTTGTCAGTTACCATTCCTGTGTGATTAAAAGTGTGTTTTTTGTTCATTTGCTTTTATTTTTTTGATGGTTATTCAATTGTTATTTTTGTCTAACTGAGTGAAAGACAGCAATAGTCCCTGTACGACACAACTACACCCACACCTTCTGCAGCTCCACTTACTGAGTGAGAGCCACCACTTCCTTCTCCACCAACTGGCCAATGATAAACAACCACAAAGAAGAGCCTGAGTCACCCTTGGCTGCTATTCACAAACAGTTAATAGCAATCTAAATACAATAACACGATGATGTCTCGATGTTTCGGAGACAGCAGACCATCATAGTCCACACAAAGAAGCAAGATAAAGTGGTAGAAACAAGGGAGCAGAATACAGATCCAGAACACATCCCTGAGGAAGAAGCAGCATTGGAACTCTCTGATAAGGAATTCAAAAGAATT